ATGAGCTCCCTTACCCCATGTAAGGATGAGGAAACAGGCTAGGAGAGCTGATGACAGCTCCTAGAGCACCCAGGCCAGGAGATCTGCTGCCTGTGGCCTGGAACTTACTGCTGGGGACCAGGTCGGTCCAGGGGTTCTCCCTCTGTGAGGTCTCATTCCTCTTCTGTGGCTGGAAGTCCTGGTCTGGGCCACTTTCATCTCACCTGCAGGAGCTTCCTCGCTGTCTCCCTGCTTCCCCTCTTGTCCCCACCTCTGTGAAGGTCACTTTTATGTTCAACAACCAGAGCAATTCTAAAAGGCAAATCAGGACCCCATACTCGCCAGCTCAGAACTGCAGAGCCTCCCCACATGCCTTCAAGTCCCCACAATGGCTCATGAGTCCCGTGCAGTCTGCCCTGCCCCCACCCAGACCTCACCTCCCACCACACTGCCCTCCCCACTCCACCCCTCCAGTCCTCAGACTCACCACTCTTGTTCCCATGCCACCCCTCAGAAAAGCCATTCTCCATCCTGTCATCCTGTCCATTTACCCAGCTTTATTTGCTTCTGACACCTCTTTCTACCGCACATTCTGGGATCTCTCTGTTTGTTTGCTCATTGTCAGGCTTCCTGACTGAAGGGCGACTCCATGCTCACTGCTGCGTTCCTTCTGCAGCAGGTTGGCGCAGAGTAGGTCCCTGGGAAGTATTTGTGGGGTGAGTGAATGGAGAACAAACGAGGTCTCCTGTCATACCAGGTGAGATAGAGAAGGCTGCGGCCACTCGCCCAGTGGCGTCGGGCCTTCTCGAGTTAGGACAGCTTTGAGACACAGCTCCCGCCTCCCCAAGACCCTGCTAACTCTGATCTCTTGTTCCAGGCAGGTGGACACCAATACGAAAAACGTCTTTGGGCAGCCACGGTTGAGAGCATCCCTCCGCGACCTCCGCTCCCCACGGAAGAACTATAAGTCCACCATCGAGGATGACCTGAAGAAGCTCATCATCATGGACAACCTGGCGCCAGACCAGGAGAGAGATGCAGGAGTACGAAGTGGGCTGCGAGGGAGGGTGAGGGCAGAGAACCTACCTCCCACGGCCACTCCAGCCTCTTCCTGCAGGTCCTTGGCCTTTGACCCCTGCTGGCCCCGTTTGGGTGTATGTGGCTTTGTGGCAGGGATTCGGGCCATCACATCATCAGTCAGGCCAAAGGCACGGTGTAAACCAGCCTGGTGGGCAGGCAGGGATTTGTTCCACACTAGAGGACCTCACGTGACAGGGAAGTTCTCAGAGGCCTCATGGAGCCCAACCTCAGGCACTAAAAGTGGAGGCAGGGTTCCCAGGGACCAAAACCGCAGTTGTCCTTGGTCCCTCTACACCCCCCATTGTCCCCGCCTACCCCTGACTGGTCTTGCTCTCGGGCATGCACTCTCTTGCGGGGATGGAGAGGGCTGTATCCCACAGCACTAGGGAAGGCAGCGCTCTGTCCCCAGTGTCCCCAGCAGTGGCCCGTTCTCATTGGTCCAGCTCAGGCCACACCACCTTCCCTAACCTTACCTGGAGCTGGAGGACAGAACTGAGTGG